CTTCAGATATGACCTCCCCTGGCTTTATGGAATTAGCTTTGATTATGTGTACATTCTTTTCATTTCATTATTTAGCAATGCAGAATCTTGCAGCTATGCAGAGCAGAGGTGGATAGGGCAGAAGAAAATGCCTTGAGACTGAGGAGAACTGGGTTCTTGTCCAGGCTCTGTTGTCCAATTGCTTTATAGCCTTTGGAAAAAAAAAATCCCTGTTGTCTTTGAGCCTCAGTTTTTTGGACTGTGGAATGGAAATAATACACTATGTGATGGCTGTTTCCTTCTATCTGAACCAATTTAATATTCTGAGTAATTCCTGAAACTTTTTTGTAGCCAAGGCTTTTACCTGTAGTTTATGAGCTTCTGCTGTGGCATGATGGTCTAACACCACGTATTAAACACTGTCCCCAAATTTAATTGTCTTGGGGCATTACCACCTCCGTGGATAGAATGAGTCATTCTGTTCCCCGCATCTGCAGCTTTTGCTGAAATGAAGGTTATGGGATAACAACTTAAAGGCTAACTCGTTAATGCTCAGGGATGAATGAGGTCATGTATCAGCAGACCAAATTGGTGCCCAAATGTTTTCATCCACAGACCTAGATCTCTCTCATGCTATGATATATTAATGGGGATGTCTTTATCCATTTCACTGCCTGTAGACATTTGAATATTGTAGATGCAATATCTTTTGGGCACCCAGCCCTGTGCAGTATCAATTTCTCAAACTCCAAAGGTCTTTCAATGGCCAGAAGCAAAATCCTGAGGAAGCCATAAAGTGCCTAATTGATAGGAATTCAAACCACAGCGTCAGTGCAGACCCTGCTTTTTTCTCCTAGGTGTTTACTAGTTGGTGAGCACGTACCAGACCTAACCATTGGATGGAGGCAGTGAAGTAAAGGAGTCTTCCACATGGTGAAGACTGTGGATTTATGCCTAGTTGAGAGCATTTCCGTCCTCACAGTGTCAAAGTGGATGACCTTTCTAATGTTAATTTGTTTCTCCATCTGTGCTGTGCATTTTTGGAGGACATGAGAAACAGGCTTGATGCCACCCAAGGGTGTTTCCCCTTTTTTGTATTGCTGGAGACTTGATTTGGGTGCCTTGTTGCTCTGTTCAAATTCTCTAGCTTGCTATCAGCCAATTTCTTTGCTCTTTTACTGATATAAATGAAACTGTCTTTTGTTGTTGACAATGTAAAACTAGATAGCTTGAAAGAAAAATAAATTCTGGGACATATAGGCTTAATCTGAATAATAATTGAAATATCAAACTAACTAGTTTTCTTTTTTCCTGTGCTGGGGAGTGAACCCAGGGCTGGCCTCATGGCTACTAGGCAAACTGTCTACCACTAAACTATATCCCCAGCCCAGTTTTTCTAAATTTTATAAGATTTGAAAAAATATTTGACCCTGATGCAATTGAAGAGTGAAGATCTATTCCCAATAGTCTCCCCAGCTAGCTTTACCTATGTTAATAAGTAATTCAAATTTAGAAAATATTGAACAAAGTAGGCTTCAATGCATTGATTAAACATTCTAATCATATTAATAATTCCTTTTAAAGCCTGATGTGTTCTGGTAAACTAGAACTTTGCCCTCTGCAAAGAACCTTCAAAGTCAACATGTCTATTAAAAACTAATGCTACATATCACATTATTCATACATTCAACTCACACATCCACAGAGATGGGTTTTATGCCATTTCCTTATTTTATGGACTAGGCCAAAGAGGCCCAGAGAATTCAACTGACTTTCCTACAGTCACACAGCAAGCAATGATAAAGCTTGGCTTTGAACTCTGTTCTCTTTGGCTCTATCTCCAATGCCCAGTGCAGATATTTGTCTAAAATGATTTTTGCAGATGTCTTGAATTCTAGATTGAAACTGAGCTGATTTGCTTTCCTATTCCTCCTTGAGCATCTTTTTGATCTCATGGTCACTTCAGGCTAGTGCCATGGTACACTAAAGGGGGAAGGAGAAGACACTTTGAAGCAAGAGAGGTGTCTTAGCACTTTGGTTCTTATGGGGAGCCTTCCTTTATGTCCAGTTTGGAATTTCAGGCCTGAGGACATGTAAAATATTACATTTTCAAGAAACTGTTTTGTGTCTGTCCACAGTGCTGAAGCCTGCTTTCTTACCCCCTCCCCAGCCCACCTATCTGCTTCTTGTTTGGGCATTCTCCTAGTTCTGTTTCTGTCTTTTGTACTACTGGTGCTTGAGAGGGTTGAAGGTAAGCAAGACAGTGTCAATTTTGCTGGCAAAACTGCAGCATATTACTGTTCTTAAGTTTAGCCCTATATGTTCAAGCAGGGAGGCAATGACAAACGGTTTATTCTAAGGCCTTTGATTTCCTTCGGAATTGTAAGCATCTAGGCTGACTCATCTCTCAAAGGCTTTCTCTCTCTCCTTTTTGGGCTGGTGTTGATTTGAGGTTTCACTGTTTGTTCTTACCTTATTTTCTGGGGAGGGGAGGGATTAATTTACATCCTGGTTTTTAAGGCAAGAACCAGCTCTGCTCTTTGGGTGATCAGATCTGGTAAGCCTCCACAAGAAGAAACTCCAAGACAGGTACAGAAATGACTGGATTGGGGGTAAGGGGAGAGGGGGGTGATATAAAAAAATTAAGCAGAGCTACATTATGTGTCAGCATGAGACCCTCGACTAAAGGGCTCTGGACTTGTTATTGTTAATGGGAGATTTATAGAGGTTTAGTCTGGGACTGGTTAGCTGTATGTGCCTTTGGTTAAAATGGTCACTTTGTGGTTTCAGTCTGGTAGTTGGCCTTGGGTGTTCACTTTGGGTCCAGGGGATGGTGCTTTGCAGTTGAAGGAGCTTTAAAATTAATGCTAGGGGTTTTCTTTTTAGCTTAGTTCCAAAGCCATAGGAAGATCCTCCATCCTTTCTCATATTGCACCTCAGTTATCTGGCAGGCTTGTCTGATATCTTTGATTTCGGCAATTAAAGAAGGCAAAGAGAATTTTGGAAATAAAATTCAAGCTGGAATGTCTTTTGGGGGGGAAACAGGAGGTTTTTTTTAAGATGATTATTGTATGATATCTCTTACCTACCTCATATCTGTCAAAGCCATATTACCTGATCTTTGAAATTTAAGCCCCTCTCCAAATTTTACATAGAAAAATATCATAAAACTCCAGGGGAAAGGAAAGCTTGGAAAAGTGGTATGTTGAGTATTTTTTTTCTTTTTCTTTCTTTTTTTTTGTTAAAAGGTTTAATTCCTTATATCACATTATTTTTTCTTTTAAGAATCGGCATCTACACATGCACCCAAATCATAAACTTGGGAGACATCTTAAATTCTTTCCATTACATTTTTTCCCCAAGTCCTGGCACTTCTACTCAGTGACACTGACTTGTATCAGCAACCCTTGTCTTCTTGCTGATCTAACTGCTTCAGGCTTTCAACCCAGATCAGGTTATTTCATGGCTCTCTGATTTTTTTTTTTCCATGGTACAACTCAGACTGGCACCCTATGGTAGTTCCCTGTTGGCTGCAGGAGAAAGTCCAACTGCTGAACATGGCTTACAGGGCTAGTCACGATCTCATCCCTGCCCATCCAGATTTATCTCCTTCCAATGCCTTCATACTGCTTTGAGATGAAAACCCCTCTCCCATTTCTTTGCCTTTGTACAAGCTGTTCTCTCTGGACACTCTCCCCCTTGCTGTATCCAGGCAAAGTTGGATGTTTTCTCCTCTCACAGTACTTTGTTTACATCTTGGCTGACTGACTTATCACAAGGTTTTGTAAATTGTTGCTAACCTGTGTATCTCCTTCACTGCACTGTTAAATCTTTTATGAGAAGAGTAGTATTATCTTGCTCAACCTTTTAATCTGTAGTGTCTGGCTCAAAGTGGGCAATTAATAGATTTCTTTTCTTAGTGAATGAATGAAAGAATAAATGGGTAACAGAGAATATGCAGGAAAGGATGCTGTGGGGTACAGGGAGATCTCCACTGGGGAATGCTATGCAACCTGGGAGCAATATGATAGTGGGGACCTTGGAGAAAGGCCATATAAAACAGGTTTCCCATTATACTAAAATGAACTTCACTCTGATCACCAATGTTGTATAGGAAGTCTGACTGGAAATGGTCTGGAAATGTTTGTTTTGGTAGATGTTGATTTTTTTCCCATGAAAAATAATATAATCAAGTTGCCCAAACTTCAGTAAATAGAGAAAAGACAAAGTCAAACAAATTATTACCACTTAATACACAGCTTATTATTTGGGTACATTTTTGTCTTTAATTTTTATGCATTTTTCCTTCACATAGTTGTAATCATAATTGCAATTCTGTATTTTTTATTTGTTGAAAGGCTCTTTGTAAACATTTTATGATTGCATAATTTTTATACTATAGTCATTATGTAATTTGTATAACTAATCTCATTGCTGGGGTAGCTTTTTTCCCTTAAGTTTTTACTATTATGGCTCATATACATATGGATTTTCCTGTCTGTAGGAAGATATCATTAGAATAGATTCCTAGAAGGGGAATTTTTCGGTCAAAGAGACTGGGGACAATTTTTGGTTCCAGACCCATGTGTCCAGTTTGTTTTCTGGAATAATTTTTGTATAAATTTACAGAATTTACATTACTCCCAGCTTAAATGAAAGCCTTCTTTTTGCCCAATCCAGACAGCATTGAGTATATCATGAAAAAATTAAAACTAGACCATCAATGTTCTAATTAATAGAAAATACTAATTTTTGTCTCAAAACTGCTTTCTAAAGAAAATTGTGAGGTGGTTTCTTTCTCTTTTTTTCTAATTAGTTTTTTTTTTTTCTTTTCTGGACTATCTGTTCAGAGCTTTTTTTTTAAGTTTTTTTTTTTTTTAAATAAGCAACCAGAGGCAGCCCTGCTTGAGGGTGAAGCCGCCTCCCAGTTTTCCCTCCCCATTTACCCCCCCCCCATAGTTCCCTCCACCAGGTCCAGTGACAATTGGATGATGCAGCCTTGATAATCATTCGATTCCAGAATGGGTGGCTGCATTCCTTTTCTGAAGGCAGCAAGGACACGCTGCCCCAGAATCATGCCCACTTTGCTCTTTTTGTCCGCCTTAATTTTTTTAGTGAGCGTCCTGGGAGGAGCCCCAGGACACACTCCCGACAGAAGGATGAAGATGGTGTCAATACACAGCCTCTCTGAGCTGGAGCGTCTGAAGCTGCAAGAGACTGCTTACCACGAACTCGTGGCCAGGCATTTCCTCTCTGAATTCCGACCTGACCGAGGTGAGCTGTACCCCGGAGTGTGGCATCCTTGCCTTTGGGCGAGTGGACCCCCGGGGCCAAAGGGACAGATTTGGGGTCCGGAGGGTCGGGAAGGGTAGCGCCTCTTCTAATTCCCTGGCGCCTGAGGAAGTGGGAGTTGTTGCAGGCTGTCTATTGAATTGCAAAAGAGGTAAAGATTAGTTGAGTTGGGTGGAAGTGGGGGGGGGGGGTTGAAGGGTGGTAAAAACGAATGTCAGAGACTGAGTAGAAGTGAGCTCAGGTGAAGAGACGCACGCGCCAGGTGTGTTTCCAGAATTGGGCAGAGCGACTGAGGTGCAGAAGGATACACGAAGAGAGGACTGGGACAGAGACACCGCGTTTGAGAGACAGTGAGAGACACGCACCAAACCAGGCGAAAGAGTGGGAGGGCGGTTCGGGGGGAGGTGGCAGCAGAAGCTGCTGTGTGAGCGCTTCCCACCTCAGCTGGCTACAATCGGGACGCTGCACAGGACAGGGTTCGAGCTTGCTCAGGGGTGGGGGGGATCTCCGGGATACCGGCGCAAATTTGGCCACCGAGTAGGGGAGGTTGCGCGGTTGCGCTGCGGAGGGGCGCTTTAGCAGCATTGGAAAGTGCAGGGGGCGGCGGGGGTCTCTAGGTGCGCGCTAAGGGCGCAGTCCGAACTGGGTGAAGCGGAGGGCTAGGAGACCTCGCCGGTAGCCGCAGCTGTGGGATTTGGAGCTAGGGACAGCCAGGTGTCGCCGCTTCTCCTGGCACCGCGCTAGGAGCCGACGGCAACCTGGGTGCTAGAGTGCGTCGCAGTAACTTGGCGACCCTCACTCTCAGAGGCGCTGCGGGTGGAGCCCCTCCCCTCGCCTGTTGCATGATTCAGGCGCCTGAGCGCCCCTGAATTTTATATTTAAGTGTTGTGTCGAGAGACCGCCGTTGCGTAGCAAGATGCGCCTTAGGTTATCTGGTTTGATTAAATCTTCGGAGTTTTTGTATGTGTAAGACAAGATTGGTCCTGTTGTCTGGCAGGGAAACTGAGGCTGGGAGAAATCAAAACATTTATCGCGGGCTGGAATGAGCTCCCCCTCCCCCTTTCCCTGCTCCCTGCTGCAGATTAATGTATGGCCATGCTTGAGTAACTTATCTGAGCCCTATTTGTATGTAAGTGTGCGTTTCTTTTCTTTTTCTCTTCTTGTAGCTCTACCCACTGACCGTCCCAACACCTTGGAGAAGTGGTTTTTGATTCTGAGAGGACAAGAGAGGGGTGAGGGGCTTCTGTATTTTCTTTGAGAGAAATAGGGTGCTGCACCCCTCCCCCCATAGTGTGCCCCTGGCTGCTAGAGACTGGGCGGGGCCCACTGCCGCCCAAGTCACTCCCCCTCCCTCCCAGAAACCCCTCAGAAGGTGATATCGGGAAATGGCTCAAAGCTGAGGCACAAGGGGCGGTCCTCCTAGACCAGCCTAATTAGGCCTTTGGGTGGATGAGCCCCAGACTGCTCAGCCTGAGATCGCCCTTCTTGTTTCTAGGTGGTCACCCCCTGGCAGGAAGGATATTAAGCCCCTTCTGGGTAGTTGAGTGGGGCTGAGTTGAGTGTTGAATACTTTTGTGTAAATACTGCTGGGTCTTTTGGGCTAGCTCCCCAGGGAGGGGCACTGCAGTGTGGAAGGGGTGGGGTTGACTGCTGGAGGTTCTTGGGGGAGGGTGGCTGTCCCTGCAGTTCCTCCCCATATAAGTGCTGCGGGGCTTTGAGGTTTCTCATTCTTTCTCTCTCTGACTCCCCAGACGTCTCTCTCAAGACATTTGGCATTCGCCTGGAAGAGGTACTGGTGAACGAGCTCACCCGCCGCAAGCATCAAGAACTGACAGCCACAATGCAGATAGAAGAAGCCACCACCGGTCAGGCTGCGGGCCGTCGTCGTCGGGGAAACGTGGTGCAAAGGATGTTTGGCCGCATCAGGCGCTTTTTCAGTCGCAGGCGGAATGAGCCCACCCTGCCCCGGGAGTTCACTCGCCGTGGGCGTAGAGTGAGTTAAACTACCAGGTTTCGGACAGGGGCCATTCCTGAGGTGTGCAGTGATGTGGGACAAGAGGGTCAAGGCTTCTATCCTCATGGGGGGGGGGGGCTAGACAGGTAAAGGAAACATTCTGAAAGGGTGTACTTGGCTTGCTACAGAGAATCTCTCCTGTTTTGAATGTCACATGCAGTACTCGTGTCTAAATAGACCCCATTTTAATATTGTCTGGATTTCTCCACAGGGTGCAGTGTCTGTGGATAGTCTGGCTGAGCTGGAGGACGGGGCTCTGCTGCTGCAGACCCTGCAACTTTCAAGGGTTTCATTTCCTATTGGCCAGCGACTTCTTGGATCTAAAAGGAAGATGAGCCTCAATCCGATTGCCAAACAAATCCCCCAGGTTGTTGAGGCTTGCTGCAAATTCATTGAGGAACATGGTAAGGGAGCTGCAAATGGTTAAATTACAAAAGGAAGCAATTAAAGAGAAAGAGGATGTTATAGAAATACAGAAAAAAGAGATCATGGGATCAAGGGCTTGGATAAAATTGCCCTGGCACTTGCAGAGGTTAGGATGCAGCTCTTAAGGAAGGAGAAGGGAAACACCATGGGGAAAGGGGTCAGATTTTCAGGATCATCTGCTTTCTTTCTTTCAGGCTTAAAGGCAGTGGGGATTTTCACCATTGAGTATTCACCATTGAGAGTGCGTAAGGTAAATTGACTATGTTTACACGTTTGGTTCTTGGTCAAGTAAAAGAAGATGGAAGTGGGGGCTCGCCTATAGACATGATGGTAGTTTCATGACTGTGGAAATAAGGTCTTCTTTCTAGTCCCCAACATACAATATTATGCTAGCTACCTCCCCTGAAGCCTGGGACTTCCTGAAGGAATGACCAAGAGGGAGCCTGTAGTGAGCAGGACAAACCATGTCTCTTCTCCCTTGTAGCTCCGTGAAGCATTTGATCAAGGTCTGGATGTAGTGCTGGATGACAATCAGAATGTGCATGATATTGCTGCACTCCTCAAGGAGTTTTTCCGTGACATGAAGGACTCTCTGCTGCCAGATGATCTGTACATGTCCTTTCTTCTGACTGCAAGTAAGTCTTCTGCCCTCCCTTGTTGGGGCAAGGGAAGGAAATGTCAGAGGTCTAGTGACCCCCAAGGACCTAAGTCCAAAAGAACATCAAAAGATGAAAAACACCTCTCTAGGATATAATATGCATATTATTTGTCAATTAAAAATAAAAATCTTCCCAAACCGTCTCCAAGTTACTTTGTCTCTTTATAAATCTGTTACTTGGGAATTTCTCTAGTTTCTTAAAACTGTGTGTGCCCTCTCAGGGCAAAGAACCACCCAGATTCTGTAGAGGTCTGGTTTTCATGGTGGGAACACTTATTACCCTTAGGGTTCCTGAACTCAAATCTTTGTACACAAGTAAAGGCAAGTTATTTAGGTAGTTTCTGCATAGCCATCAGCAATTTGGAGTAGCTCATCTCCCTTGGTATTGGGTTGCTGCCAAGGCCAGCCCCCTAAGCTGGTCCCTCTTTTCCTTTTTTCAGCTCTGAAGCCCCAGGATCAGCTTTCTGCCCTGCAGTTGCTTGTTTATCTGATGCCACCTTGCCACAGTGATACTTTGGAGCGCTTGCTGAAGGCATTGCATAAAATTACTGAGCACTGCGAGGACTCCATTGGACTTGATGGACAGCTGGTAAAAAGATCAGGGAAAGGGTGGTGAGATCTGTAGTAGGGGACATGTGCGCAAGTGTATGAGAAAATATAGTGGTAAAAAGAAAGTGAAACAAATAAAAAGAGGTGTATATCCATTTGTACAACTTCTAATACTATCTCAAGGTCAGTCACTTTCTGCATTCCTGTACCTAGGTTCCTGGCAACCGCATGACCTCCACCAATTTGGCTCTCGTGTTTGGATCTGCTCTCCTGAAGAAGGGAAAGTTTGGCAAGAGGGAGTCCCGGAAGACAAAACTGGGAATTGACCACTATGTTGCTTCTGTCAATGTGGTCCGTGCCATGATTGATAACTGGGACGTTCTTTTTCAGGTAGGTGCAAATTTTGGATATTCTTATTTCACACAGTCCTCTTTTGTTCACCAAGCAAGGGAGAATTGTATGTGGTTACCAAAGCAGGCAGATAAAGTTCCCAGTCTAGAATTTCCTTCCAAATTAGATGGTCATGAGGTTGTCTTTCAATCCTGGTACCCGATGGAGACATAAATGAAAAGGTGCTGAGCAATAAAGACTAATATTGCTAATTTTACTCTCAGGTGCCGCCTCATATTCAGAGACAGGTTGCCAAGCGTGTGTGGAAGTCCAGTCCTGAAGCTCTTGATTTTATCCGTCGCAGGAATCTGAGAAGGATTCAGTGAGTTTGTTTTTTTTTTTTTTCAATTTAGCCTAAAGGACATTATTCTATGGGGGCTTCCAACTCCAGATGATCTTTATGTTAGTTAATGCAAGTACAAAATAACTTGTTCAACATTCCTTTCCATTCAGGAGTGCACGCATCAAGATGGAAGAAGATGCTTTACTTTCTGATCCAGTGGAAACCTCTGCTGAAGCCCGTGCTGCTGTCCTTGGTCAAAGCAAGCCCTTTGATGAAGGTCAGTTCCCTTCAAGAGGTCAGGCCCTTCCTGAAGGTCAGTTCCCTGCAGGGGGTCAGGGCTTTCCTCAGGATCAGGGCCTTCCTCAGGGTCAAACCCTTGCTCAGGGTCAGGCCCCTGCTGAGGACCATGCCCTTCCTGAAGATGAGTACTCTGAGGAAGATTTGTCAGTCAATGAACAGCTAGCAATTGAATATTTCAATCAAGTAGTCTTTGGGAACAATCAAGGTTTTATGCTCCCAAATGACCTTGAAATTGAAGGTTCATACCTTGACGACATACCAGAGCTTGATGAAGAAGATTATGATGGTGATGATGATGATGATGGTGACGACAACAACAACGATGATGATGATGGTGATAATGATGACGATGACACCTTGAATTTTGGTAATCTTCCTTCTCTTGCGGATATTCTAGGACCAGGTGAAGAAATTCCAGAACTCATTGAGATCCCAGACTTTGAAGAAATACCTAACTTTGATCCAGTTCCAGAACCCGAAGGACCCTCACATGTGCAAGTAATCTTGAACCCTCTAGGAAATCTGAATCCCAATCTCGAACAAGGACCAAATTTTGAAAACCACCACAATTTTGGCCTGGCAGAAGTTTCCCATCTTAACATAATCCAGAACAGTGAAGAAATCCTGGAAGCTAGTGAAATTCCAGGTAATGAGGAAGCCCCAGACAATGCAGATGTCTCAGATAAGGATGAAACCACAGATTATGATGACCCTAGTCTTGAAGAAATGCCAGCTATTGATGAAGCCCCATGTGTTGAAAAATTCCCAGAGGTCAATGGGATTTCAAACCCTGAAGAATTTGATGTTGAAGAGGTCCCAGCTTTTGCTGGCCTCCCAAATGATGAAGAAATCTCAAGGTATGAAGAAGCTGCGGAATCTGAAGACCCCACCCCTGAAGAGGTCCAGGCTATCCATGTGATCACAGCCCTTGAAAATACCATCGATTTTGATGAAATTCAAGATCTGGAAGAATCCTCAGATGTGGAGGAATGTTCAGGGGACAAAGAAGACTCTGACATTGATGGAAACAAATACTCTGAAGAAAACCCCATTCTTGAAGGTTACCTTCCAGTTCTCAGTGTGGTTCCAGAACCTGAGAATGCCCAAATTCAAAATGAAACCCCAGATTGTCAGGAAGACCAGGCTTTTGAAGATGATGAAATTGACACTGTGACTCCAGAAACTGAAGATGTCTCCATTTCCAGTTCAATTCCAGACCCTCTGCCATCCGTGGCTGTCAATCTGGAAGAAGTCATGAATGTGGATGAAGTCCCAATGCCTAAAGATGTCAACCCTAAAGAAGTTCAGAATCCAAAGGCAATTCCGATTGGTAAAGAAGACTCAGATGTTGCATCTGCTGTAGATACCACTGTCCTTAAAAATGAGTCTCAGCCTAGCCCTGAGTCATTTAAGAGTAACATCTATTTTGTGTCCTTTATGCAGTGCTTTAAGTTTCCGGTTCCAGCTTTGATACTCATTTGCTTGGTAAAATTAGTGAACCTTCTTTTTATGTGGTGGTGGTTATTAGGTCACCGTCTTCCCCCTGTACCTGGTGGTGTCATTAATTTGCTCTGAGCTTGGTCTCTATTCTGTTCCCTAATCTATCTTTCCAGTTTCCACAGTGGTGAGAGCTTTAGAAACTTCTGTGCTGTTAGCTTCAGTTTACTGACTCCTGAAATGGGGATAATCATTCCTGCCCTGTCTTTTCTCATATTGTATTTAAAACCCAAAATTAGATCCGCGGGCCTTGGGTGCTATCTGATGTCTAGGAGTAACATTGTTACTATTTTCCAGGTTCCTCTGAGGAGCCAGCCGTGCCTCCCGGCACTGCCCGTTCCCATGACGATGAGGAAGGAGCGGGTAATCCCCCCATTCCGGAGCAAGACCGCCCATTGCTCCGTGTGCCCCGGGAGAAGGAGGCCAAATCTGGCATCGGCTACTTCTTTCCTTAGGTGTTTTTCCTCCTTTAAGGTGCCGGACAGGGGAAAAGGGTGGGGGTAGACCTGGGATGTCACAGGAAACATGAAGGAGAATCTTTGAGATAGATCTGAGAGGAGTTCCACCTGATGCTCGGGTCAGGATAGGAATTCCCAATACACTGCCAGCCCCTTCACTGGGGATGCTTGGTCTCCTCAGCTGGTAAAAGCAGAGATGTTTCTGTGTCATGCCCAGGCTCCCTGGTGCTACCTTGCCTTTCTCTTTTACCCTTGGTCTTGGCTTTCTCACACTGCAGCCCTCCTTTAATTGATGTTACATTTGTGGTAAACACCTGTCCCAGAGAAGCTCACAAATCTCGAGGTGCTTTCCCTCCCCTGCAGGGGATTGCATGTTTTTCCTTACTTTCCGCCCCTCCTCCCGAGAGCTCTATTGGAAAGGCCCTCAAGAGGCATGCTAGAACGTTAGGTCAGCCTACTGACAGCTGACAATTAATGCTAAATCATGTCACACCAACTCATAGCCGTGTCCCCGCAGCAACTCCGCCGCCTCAGGATCCCCAAACTCCCCCCAAATTATTGAGACCGATGGCTCGTCAAAAAGCCACTCCTAAATTCTGTGCAGTTTTGCTCAGGTCACACCAACGGGGAAACCTCAAGTGTAAGCCTGACTAGCTTTTCTGGGGTCAAAAGTTAGAGGAAAAATTAGACTTTAGTACCTGGATCTGTTTTAAAGACGGCTGGTGTTCACACCATGTTGTCAACAAAACGGGCTAGTTTAGGTTCGGACACATAGTTCCAAGTAGTTCAAGTCACCTGATTACAAATGTTCTTATCTATCGTCTCTGTAGTTCCTCTATGCAGGACGGTACAAATTTGCGGGACATGCTCTGGTAACACACAGATATGGGTTATGTATGACATCCAAATTACAGCTGATACTAATGGGTAACAACTGCTGAGGTCCATAGAGTGAAGAATGTATTGTATTGAGGGATAGAAACTGATCATACAATGGATAACAACCACAGAGCTCGAAGATTTGTGATTGTTAAAACTTCTCTGGCATTTAATCATTAATAAACATTTGTGTTGTGACAGCGTATATTCCTGCCTTACTGTGGTCTTTTTCCTTTTAATTTTGGGGGGGTGGGTGAATAGGGAAGCTGTGACTATACAGCTGAAGGAGGAAAGAGGAAAAGGGATGATGAGATAAAGGGGAAAGGTGAAATAAAAATGGGGTGGGATGGGATAAAGGGCTGGGATGATGAGGAACAAAGGAGGGATGACAGGATAAAAGTGGGGGGTCCTAAATTTAAAGGGGTGGCAGGATAAAGGGAAGGGGCAATATGCAACAAAGGACATGACATGGGATAAAGGGGAGGGGTCACAAAGATATTCATGGGATAAATGGGAGGTATAATAGGGAATTGTGGAATAAACAGTGTGGCTGGGTGCAGAGGCAGGTTGGCAAGGCCCTAAGTAACTCCGTGAGACCCTGTCAACATAAAAAGGGCTGGGGATATGGCTCAGTGGTTAAGCACACCTGGATTCAATCCCCTGTACCAAAATAAAATAAAAAAGAGGGTGTGTGTGGCAGGATAAAGAAGGGATGATTTGGGTTAAGGGTAGAGATAATGGGGAATAAAGAGGAGAGGGTGTCATGGGATAAATGGAAAAGTAACATGGGATAAAGAAAGGAAGGACATGGGATAAAAGGAAGGTATACAGTAGAAAAAGGATGATTTCAGAGAGGGTGGTGTGGAATGAAGAGGAGGGGGTGATAGGGGATAAAGGAGAGGGGTTGTGGGGAAAAACAAGGATCAGATAAAGGGGATGGATGGTGTAGAATAAAGAGAAGGGATGACATAATGAAAGGGGTGAAGTGAAATAAAGGGGTGAGACATGGGGTAAAGGGGAGGGATAATGTGGAATAAATAGGGTGACATGGAACAAGATGGAGGTGACAGGATGGGGAGATAATGTGAATAAAATAGGTGTGGCATGGGATGAAAGGGAGGGGTCATGTGAAGTATAAGGAGGGGATGATGGCAAACTGGTGGGGGGGTAATGTAGAATGAGGAGGGGTTGGTATGTGATAAAGGGAAGGAGTGATGTGAAATACAGAGGCAGGGATGATGGGGTAAAGGAAAGTGGTGGGATTACATGGGATATAGGAGAGGGGGTAGCATGGGATAAAGGGGAGGGATAATGTAAAATTGAGTGGGGGCATGGATTGTGGCTCAGTGGTAGAGTGCTTGCCTCACACTTGTGAGGCCCTGGGTTCGATTCTCAGCACCACATAAAGATAAAGGTATGACATTCATCTAAAAAAATGGAATAGAATACAGGGGAGGGATCAGGTAAATCAAAGAGGAGTGGATGACATGGGATAAAGGGGAGGGGTAATGCAGAAGAAACAAGTGTGTTGCCTGGTATAAAGAAAGGGGTTGCATGGGAGAAAGGGGGGGAATGGTACAAAACAAAGAGGAGGGCATGACAAAGGGGAGGGGTAGCATGGGATTAGGGGGTGGGATAATGTGGAATAAAGACGAGGTGGCATGGCACAAAAGCAAGGATCACGTGGAAAAAAGATAACTTGGGGTAAAGGGGAGGGATAATGTGGAATAAACAAGAAAGAGGATAACAGAATACAGGGACGGGGTCATGAGTATCAAAGAGGAAGGGATAATATGGGATAAAGAGTAGGTGATGTGGAATAAAGAGGGGTATCATGAGAGAAAGGGAAGTGGTGATGTGGAATATGGAGCAGAGGATGATAGAGGGTGGGGGGTGACTTATGAAAATATAGAGAGGGTGAAGGGGAGGGGGTAACTTCTGGAAAAGGCGAGGAATGATGTAAAATAAATGGAGGGAGCATGGGATAAAGGAGTGGGGATATGGAATACAGAGGAGGAGATGACATGGGGTAAAGAGGAGGGGTAACCTGGAAAGAAGGAAATGGAGTGATGTGGTATGTGGTGAGTGGGAAAGGTAGAAAAGGGTGATGTGAAAAAAGGGAAGGGGTGAGATGTAATACAGGGGATGGAGTGATGTGGAGTTGAAATCAGGAAGTGATGTGGAGGAAAGGTGGGGAGATATGGAATAAAGTAGAAGGATTAATGGGAAATAAATGGAATAAAGGGACAAGGACCCTAACTAAATGAAGAGGACGAAAGTGATGAAGTAGAGTAAATGTTTTAAGGCTAGATGAGGGAGAGGTAAGGTAAGGAAGGATGCCTAAAAATGGTCTCTAAACCAGGTGGGGTATTGCATGCCTGTAATCCCAGCAGCTGGGGAGGCTGAGGAAGGCTGGGGAGGCTAAGGAAGGGGAATCACAAATTCAAGACCAGCCTCACAGCCTAGGTAACTTATCAAGGCCCTTAGCAACTCAGCACAACCCTGTCTCAAAATAAAATATAAAAAGTGCTGGGGATGTGGCTCAATGTTTCAGTGCTCCTGAGTTCAATCCCTGATACAAAAAAAAAAAAATACCCCTTCTAAGTGGAAGGGAGTATAATAAAGGGGGGACCACTAGATGTTCTCAACTGATAAAGTCCTCCTGAACAGGTACAAAAGGAAAACCTAGAAACATCCAGGGACATATGACATATGAGGGTAAGAGGAATAACTTACTACTGTTTGATTGATGAGACCACCAAACTTTCTTGAAAGTTTATGGCATCATGACAGACTTGAAATTTTCCCATGTCAAGGACAGGGCCCCCGAAAGTATTATGATGTATGTCATTTATTTTTATACAGTTTGGTCTAACATATTTCCTTGCATAGAGCTTTATAAACAGCAGACATGTACCATTGGGCTCCTATAATAATAATCTTGTAATAATTATAATGATAGTTAGCACATATTATTTCAAAGTGGCAGTGTATTAAAAGCTTTACATGCATCATTTAATTTAATATTCACAATAACTCTATGAGATACATGCTACTGTCATCTTCATTATATTCTTGAGGAAAATGATATAGAGAGGTTAAATAACCTGCACAAATCATACAGCTGGTTAGTGGGAAAATAGCCAGTATTCAAAGCTGGATTGTTTAAATATTAGATTATACTGGCTCATGCATCTTGACATTCTGCTTTTGACACAAACATGCATTGTGATGTGTCCAGTAATTTATTTTGGATTGGGGTTTACACTTTCAACAAGTGAACTTCACTTTTCTTCCATATAGGTTCTTGCTTTCCAGATAGGAGAGCCTAATGTTAGACAAAAATTGTGATATTTCAGTCAGATACTAAAAGTTTTATCTGGGTCTTACAGATATTAGAGCCAAAAGAAAATGTAGTTTATCCAGTTCCACTTTGTTGTTTTATGGTTGTTGTACTAAGGCTCAGACTTGGAAATAATTTACCCAAGACGAGATCTAAGGATATGATTCAGACAGTTGTCCTGACTGCAATTCCAGGATTTTGTGGGGGGTGAAAACACTAAAATAAACCAGGCCTGGTGTGCATGACTATAATCCTGATACCTTGGGAGGTTGGCCCACGAGTTCAAAGCCAGCTTCAGCAACGTGTCGAGGTCCTAAGCAACTCAGTGAGACCCTGTCTCTAAACAAAATATAAAAAATGCGCTGGGGATACTTCTCAGTGATTAAACACACATGGGTTCAATCCCCGGTACAAAAAAAAAAAAAGTAGAAAACCGAAGCTTAGTTGTTGAAAGTGCAAACTCCAATCCCAATGACTGGGGAAATCACAACACATGTTTGCGTCAAAGAATTTACCTGTGCTTTTTTCACTCAACTAAAAACCAAGAAATGAACAGTAAAGCAAATTATTTCAAAACATTCCATTCACTTTCTGGCCTTCTCTGAAACAAAAACTTTTCCCAATCTTATGTTCCTTCCTAGTAACTAAGGAATTGAGGCTAAGATTGTGCATAGATATGAGCATTATTATCCCCATACTTTAAGGACTTGACACTCCAAGTCCTGTTCTCCTGCTTGGTGACACAGAAGACCCATCTCATACACTCTAGCTTCAGACCTCTCTGCACGTCAGCCAACCCCAGTCCTTGGCCTCACTGGGCATGGCTTCACCTCTGAAAGACTCAACTCCCAACATCCCACTGAGACCCATGTCTTCCAGCAATGGCTGAGTCCCACATCATCTGCTCTTTGACCTCAATGAGGGGTCCTGTGCCCCAAGCCTTTCTTTGCGTGTCACTTCTTTCCTTGTGCCACCAGCATCTTGAGGCCCATTAATTTAGTATTGACCACACCATCATCCCCCTGTGCCCCAAATGCCATATATGCACTGTTGAGTCCCCACTGGAGGACTCTCCAAACATCTGGTTGCTCCAATCCCAATAAGGACCACTGTGGTAGAAAGGGTACCGATGTTTAGAGTGCTGCTCCTAACAGTCAGAATTTCCAACTTCAGCGGGGCCCTCAGGCCAATGAGCAATCCATCCCCACCATGTTTCTCTGTCATCTCCTTCTCCTTTGCATTTGGGTTCCAAGTTTCTTTTTCTTTCTTTCTTTCTTTGTCTTTCTCTCTTTGTTTTGTACCAGGGATTGAACCCTTGGGTGCTTAACTACTGAGCCACATCCTCAGCCTTTTTTATATTTTATTTTGAGATGGAGTCTCACTGAGTTGCTTAGGACCTCGGTAAATTGCTGAGGCTGGCTTTGAACTTGCCATCCTCCTGTCTCAGCCTCCTGAGCAGCTGGGATACAGACATGTCCAGTTTTTAGTTCAAATTCAAATTGTTCATTGCCTCTATATAGGAAAGTAGTTTTGACTTTTGTATGTTGACCTTGCATTCTGTATATTTGCTATACTTGCTTTTTTTCCCAAGGGGTATATATTGTTTAAGATCTTTTAGAATTTTCTACATAGACATTTGTGGCACCGGTGAATAAAGGTAACTTTATTTCTTTTTTATGTATTTCCTTATCTTATGCTACTGCACTAGACAGGATTTCAAGTACACTTCTATAAGTGGTGAGAGGGACATTCTTGCCTTTTCCCTTTTTTTGAGGGGAAATTATCTAGTTTATTTGTATTAAATATGTTAGCTATAGTTTTTCCTTTGTCATATTCTTTATCAAGTTGAG